GTAACATACACTATAGAGCCATTGGATGACTCAGTTTATGGAGTCAGCTACAGTTATTCATAAAATAGTGTATTGACATACGTGTCATTCAATAAATACAGATTGAACATGTGTCACCACATGAAATTATAGATGAATCCATAGAATTTCTGTTAACATACATATGTAAAATCTCATACACATACACCTAATAGACCGGATGAACCTTCTCTTCCATTTTCCTTTTTCCACCCATCATCACTTTCGCTCCACAAAGTCAAGAAAAACATAAAAGAATAAATAAAAAAAAAATCTCACACACATAGCATAGATTTTTCAAATCCATTTCATTCCCCCACACACACTAATCAACACGTATTAGATTCACATAATGTAATGTGAGTATTTTAAATAGAATCTGGTGGGCGTGTCCCTTTTTTGAAAAAATAAAAATAAAAAATGTGATAGATTAATAGTTATTCAGGTTGATTCATTATATTTTTATTAGCAAGCTGTGGCCTGTGAAATGCCATACTTTGTTAATGTTGTGTTTAAAGTATGTCATGTTAGTTAAAAATATGTATATTCGTGGAAAAATATGATTGTCTAATAGTTAGATCTGACCAATAATTTTCTTTTTTAACTACTGTCTTCACTACTACTTAACATTAGGTCGTCGTATTTTTTGTTTTACAATTATGCATACTTTATTTAAATCTCTAACTTTAAAAATAAAATAAAGTAAAAACGTGACATTTTTAATAATATAAATAGGTGTTTTTGTTCCTATAAAATGATTGTGGATCTCCAACTAAACATTCCTCTGATTTTTTTTATTTATATATACAAAACCCATTCTTCTCTGCACACTTTATTGCCTCCACTTTCTCATGCGAAACTCTTTCTCTCTCTCACCAACACACCGTCAACGTGATACCTTCCGTTTTCTCTTCAAATCCCTATTTTTCTTCTAAATCGGAAGATGAAATTGAGAAATTGCGAGCTGTGCGGCGCGGCTGCCGCCATCTACTGCCCCTCCGATGACGCATTCCTTTGCCGGACCTGTGACGCGGAGGTCCACGACGCCAATTTCCTCGTCGCCCGCCACGTCCGCCGCTCGGTCTGTCCCATCTGCTCTAATCTCGCCGGAAACGGATTCTCCGGCGCCGACTGTCCGCCTTCCCTCGCGACCTGCCCGTCGTGCGCCCCGGCCTCAGACGACGACGGCGGCGTTACATCCTCCGGTTACTCCTCCGATTGCATCTCGAGCACCGCCTCTCCGGCGAAGGTGCGCTCCGAATGCGCGTCCGGTGAGCGCCGCCTCGGCGGCGAATCGAGGCGGACGGACTACGCGGGGGCGGATGGGGTCTTCGCCGAGTGGTGCCGCGTGATCGGCGTCGCCGGCGACGGAACGGCGGTGCGGATGGCGTGCAAGGGCCTGAGGGCGTGCTCCGGCAGCTGGGCGGCGGTGCCGTACCGCGTGTGCCTGGCGGCGTCCATGTGGCTCGGGTTGAGGCTCGCGATGAACAAGGAGGCGACGTGGCAAGTGCTGAAGCGGCTGGAGGCGGTTTCCGGCGTTCCGGCTGGGGTCATTCTAGCGGCTGAGCTGAAGCTGGAGCGTGGCTTGAAGGGAGCGAGGCGGCGGCTGCAGAGGCGCCGGGTTGAGCTGGAAGAGGGATGGGCCGAGTGCTGACGCGGCGGCGGTTTGACTACGGTCGTTGGGCTGTGTTTGTGTTTGTAATTTTGTTTTCCTTTTTTCCTTTCTGGTTAAAAATAATAGCTTATATTCAGAAAAAAAAAAGGCCATTTGGAATTCTTTTTGTGATGTGGGAACATGCTTCCAGCGTGGGATTGAATGTGTTCTTGATTAGTTAATTAGGATAAATCAAAATTCAAGTACTATGCCACTATTATATGATTAGTATATCATATTATTCTTTAATTTCTCATTAGTTCCCTTTTATTTTCTATCGGTCTGCTAGAAAATTAAATGTTGTTTTAATATTGAAAAGTAATAAGGCAGTATAAATTTAAAAGATTAAAACGAAAAATCACGATAACAAAATCAAAGACATATAATAATGTAATTACTTCGGTATAGCATTTAAACGATGCGACTCTTGAGCATAGTTCAACTTGGTAAGGTTTAAGTAAGGTTTAGGGTTGAGCTCGTCTTATTAAGGTTCAAAAATAAGTTTTTATTTTTTTAAGATATAATTTTCTATAATTCAATTTGTTTAAGATCAAATTTGAATCATTTTGTTAACAAACTAAACTCTAACTGGAATTTACACCTCTACCTTCCAAGGTTTGTATTA